AACACAGCCTTTATTGTCGATGAGAACGCCGTCGCGTATGCAGACTGGCTTTGAAAATTCGACTACAGATTTCATTGTCAATTTTGATGTCTTTAGGAATGTTGCTTCTCGGGTACACACATTTGTCAACTGATTTGAGATAGTTTCCACTGGGCTCATTGAAGCCATCATCTTATGCCGGTTGTTTAATAGTCGCCGCCTTTTCGATGGTTATTTTGAAACCCGCTCCGAAAACAAGCGAGTCCATACGCCGTTCCATGTTCCATCTTGTTGCTGTATTAAGCTTGTTGTCATCCGCGTATCGGGATTGGCCACAGCCCTGGCATCTGCAAACGCTTGTATGCGTCAGATGTTGATTAATAATTGTCTGTTGTCACTGTCGATTCCTGGCCAATTCTTGTGGTACCTGTCCATAAACATGCTTGAGGATACGGGGGAAAGAGGTCGCGAAATCGGTCGGTTTGTTCATAAAAGCTGGGAAGATAAAAGTGTTTTCATGCTGCATCCCTGCCCAAGATAATGCACCTTTCGAGGTTAGTGGCTGTCAACTTGAAGAAGTAGACTGTTTCAAATACATCGGAGCGAGGTTACTGTCGAATGGACAGAGTAAGAATGAAATTGTCTTCCGAACTGACGCAGCTCGACGACTTTTCTTCAGCTTTCGAAGGTGCCTATTGATCCGACGCGATATTCCTATGTCCACAAAGATCCGCGTATACCGTGCGTCTGTGCGGTCCGTTCTTCTTTACGGATATGAATGTTGGGCTATGTGCGTGTAAGATGAACGGAAGCTGGAAGTCTTTGACCACTACTGCTTGAGAACAATCCTTCGCATGAAGTACACCGACTTCTTTTCAAATGAGACAGTCTGCACTCACTGCGACAAAATCACAAGGATATCCCAGGCCATTCAGGAAAGACGGCTGAGGTAGTTTGGACCCTTTCTTCGTCGTCAACCTCAGGAGGTCAGTGTTACTGCCTTCGATTTGAAACCGTTACCTGATTTGAAACGTCGAAGAGGGGGTCAACTCAAAACCTGGCTTGACTCAGTTCTTCAGGACCTGGAAGTGGTCCTTGGACCTTCTACTTTCGGTCTCCGTCGCTAGATAAGAGACTGGGGGGAGTTCTCCAGATCCGTTACCGCCAATCGTCACACATGAAGAGATACCGTCCGTGACATCATTCAGGCCGGCTAGATCAGGCATGCTCACAGCCGTAGCGAGTCTAAGGATACGGATGGTGAGGGTGGGAGCGAATAGACGGTCCTGCTTCACACCAGTTGCGTCCACCAGTGCCTCTGCAACTGACCCATTATGCGCGATGAGCATCATCATCATCATCATCATCATCATCATCATCATCATCATCATCATCA